ATGAGAATCCCAAAGCTAGTGCACTGTGTACATCTCGCAGTGCCTAAAGGAACAGAGTTGACTAAATTATGAATTGTGACTACTCGATAGTATCTGTATACTGAAAAAGACTGCCTTAGAAAATCAGAATAAAAAAGGAGTCACTGAAATGGTTCTTCAAGAAAATAGCTATAATTCTTCCAGGTAATATATGTGCAGTGAAAGAAATGTATTATTAATACAATTAAGGTAAATAAGTACCATGAAACCAACTAATATTAAACAAAAAAAAAAAAAGAAAATTAATTAGTCAGTATTTTTCCTTCTGATTTTCATCGGTGTGCACTATAAAAGAGTGTAATAATATTCAGGTTCATGTTATTCAAGATGTTAACCCCTGGATTTAGCAGCATTTGATTTTCCTTGAAATCATCCAAGAAAAGCTGCCAATAAGCCTTTCCTTTATGTGAAGTAACAGACATCAGAAAACAGCAGGTCAACATTAACACAGACATTCTAGTGAACAGAAGGCTTCCTTTTACATTACATAAACCAATCAAACCTGATACACTTTCAGTGTATTGAATTTCCTCACTTCCAACTTTGTTTTAAGGAAAGCCTCCTCTAGTAATCTACTTGGAAGTAACCAGGGGAAACTGACAGCAATATAGGATATAAAATAGGTGCATAGTGTGAATGAGATTCTCTTCTAAAAGAACTTGCATTAAAAAAAACATCCCTTAAAAAAAAGGGCATAGCATTAGAAAAAATTGATGTGTCTGATTCAGCCAGCAGAAGAGACGTGGAAGCAATCTCGAACAGCTTACGCTAATTAAAATTTACTCTTCGGTGCCAGCAAGAAAGAATTCTCTGTATTTAAGTCAACTTTTGCACAAAGCTAAAGCAGCAGCTGGCATATCTTTGAAGACAGAGGATGCTTCATTAGTATTCTTTTAATTGAGTTTTTCTGAACTGATAAACACATGCTGGTCTCACTTTTATTTCTCTGTTTTGGAGAGTTTTGCTCTAAAATGACCAGAAACTCTGTACTGTATCTCCCTACAAGTCTTTCTTCATAAAAGAAAAAGATGCACAGTGGCAGGTACTAGCAGATTTCGAAGCAGTACACTCTAAACTGTTAGAAGCAGGAGCTCTCTTGTTGCATGTATTGGTAAGGCAGTTTGCCCAGCAGGACCCAATTCTGATTTAAAAAAAAAGTAATAAATCTCATCACAAGTAGCAGGAAAGATTGTTTTATAATCCTTGCTACCTATGACTTCAGTGTGGAACTCAAGAAGCAATTCAATCGGAGACTATGGCTATGAGGAAGTGACTCTCCAGCTCTTTTGCTTGCTCACTATCAGACACCTTTATCCCATCATTTGCTAGGGGGCATTCTGGCCCCTGGAGTCACGTACTCGGGAAGCGGCCACGCTGCTGGACAAGCGCGCCACTTTTTGAGAACCAGATGTAGTGTGATCCAGATACTTCTGTCATTAAACACCAGTCATCTGGGAACCAGTGCTCTGACATGCTTAGAAAAAGAACGTCAGTACTGTCCAAGGTCCCTATGCCTTGCAGTTCCTTGCCAATTCTGTCTCCTAAATATCAGTAATTCAAATACAATTTCCACATCATTCCTTTGTCTCAGAAGGATTGTCTGGGTGCCTGAAGTACCTCATACATTTCTATGTTGGACTGTAAGTCTTGCAAGGCTTTTTTCAGGTTCCTAAATTCTCCCTTAACTAATTAGGCCTGTGCATTTTCAGCTCCAAATCTACAGTTATAGTGGAAAAGTATCACTTAACAGACAGAAAGGCCTGACGACAAAAAAAGTCTCCCACTTTCCACTTGACTAAGTGTCTGATTACATGTTGTCAGGCAAATCAGATAACCCGAGATTTACTTGACTCATCCACTGAGCACAAACATTATCCAACTTTGCCTTCACATTGCACTTTATAATCCTAGGATCTCAAAGCCAAGTACCAGTACAAAATACACAGTGTCTCCCTGAAGGAAACCAACACTGGTGGAAAACTATGTAATGTCACAAGGAAATCTACAGCAATTTTGAATTATAAAACTATACTGGGTAAGACATGACAGATTAGAGTGCTGAGTACAATCCAGCAGTCCGAGAAAGAATCAGAAATCCCCAAAGATTTTAAAAACTAACTACCAGAGCCAAAGATTAATCTCAGTAATTTACAAATTATCTTTTAAAAGCATTAAAATCCAACAGTAAACCAAGTTAATTTCCCTCCCAAACTTTCTTCATTCTCTCTCTTTCCCCCTTAGCTTGCTTTCTCTCTTTTTTGCAATGGTTTCTTGAGGTTCTGATCACGGTATCATTGTGGTATCAGTCTACTGGAAACATAATCCTAGCGATACTCCTTTAAAAGGATAATTTAATTAAAGTGTTAAATAGTAGAAGAAAATTAATTTCCTCTGACTTTTTCCTCTTTTGAATACTTAAACCTGTGCAATTATACATAAAAAAATGGAATCTATCAACTCTGAAACCTCAGATTTCATCAATTAGATACTTTTCCTATGCCTATAAAAGAAAAATCAGCCCTTTTAAAAAACCAGTCATTGGGGAAAAGTCATTTGTTCATATTGAAATGTGTAAGTGTCTCTTCCGACCTGTAGTACCAGACGCTTTTAATGAAGGGGGAAAAAAGAAAGAAAAAAAAGATGGTTCCCAGAGATAGCTCAAATTTCTAAAGGTGAAAAAAAATTAAAAACCCCAAAAGATTGCATTAAATTAGTTTCAACCAAATGATGATGAGCCTGAGAAAGTGAGAGGCTTCAGAAAGAAGATGGCATACTTACTGCTTGAGGCAGACAATTCTTTAGGACTGGAGGACATTGGCTGAGCACACATCTGACAGAGACAGTCCCTTCCATTAAAGGTAACTCGATCGCCTGGTGGAAATGGACGCCTGGAGAGTTAAACAGAAAAATGTATTTTAGCAAAGATTATGCCAGAAATTTTCCTTTGTTCCCTATGCCTCGAGTTTGCTGCCTTCCCTCAGTGCAATCAATATTTTACAGAAACTCAGGCCAAACAGTTTCTGCAATGTGGCCTTGGCAAAGCCAGGGACTGGAAGCAATCCAATCCGTGGATGCAAGCAGAGCAGAGGTTAGACATGCCTTGTACTTTGGTTTTAAAAAGTTATCAAACATACTTTATCTAAAGAGTAGCCGACAGTGAAATCTGCTTAGACACAACAGCTACATTTATGATGGTCTCAGCATGATGTTGTGGATAGCAAATAGTACAGAAGAGAACTCAAAGGAAGAATCAGAATTGGTCTTGAGGCTAGTGAAGGAATGTGGAGCTAGTCACTCATAAATACACTAATTTCATCTGTATCCAGCAATGAAATATATGACTATATTACAGTAGATGTAGCTGTTGGCAAAACAATGAAATGTTATTCACATTCATTCTCCTAGAGACTTAAAATAGGTATCTACATTACAGAACCACCACTGTAATTGTTACATGTGCAGATGGTGTTAGGAGAAAGGTAAAGGCTGAATGCGCTATGGAAATTTGAGATTATTTGCTGAACCCAACAGAATGTTAAGAATATGCACTGGGCAGAAGTTGACATTGCTGTTATCTCTTATTTGGTATATAAACCAGAGGATGAACAACATTTTGTATGAGCATTTCACTAAAATGAACTTTAGCTGCTGAGTACAGACCCCACTACCCCACACCTTGCTCTAAAACTGTGCTTAACAAGGGAACACCCACTTGTTTCCACAAAACGTTTACGGCACTGTTCTAGTTTCCTTTCCACTGCCATTCCCAAGTGGGCCATAAATAAATCAGCAGCAATACTGCATTTCATTAATCTATTCCGAGGACTCATCTTTTGTTCATTCAACATAAAAAGATTGATGCAAGTCAGTGTACAGAAAACTGATGTCATGTTTCATATTCTATCATCTACTTTCACACTGTCCTTGGGAAATAAATCTGAAACACACACATCACATGATTATCAACATGCAGTAAATTCAGACACCAGTAAAACCAAATGGAAAAACAATCAAAATACTTTCAATAGAAAAAGTCTTGAAAAATGTACCAGGCTATAGGACAAAGTACTTAAACTACTCATCAGAGATAGCTATGAAAGATTAGGGTAGCACCTGGCAAGTCTGCCACACTAATACCCAGACGCATCATATGCTGATATGTCCAACAAGGTACTGTCTCAAAATGCTGATTCTTGCCTTTCTCGTTCATGTCATCTTCCTGCATTAAGTTTCAGACAATTTGACTGCTGTCAGATTCTGATTTCTGGAGAACTCCACTGCCCTATTTCCCTCCAAGAACACAAAGGAACAGGCCCTGCCTTTTGGGTCCTCACTCTCTATGAAATCTACCTACATCTCTATCTGATGCTTCTTATGTGTCCCTCAGGCATTACAGTGAAACTGATTTAAGAAAAGTTTTGTTTTACTTGCAGGGCTCAGAACTGCAGAAATGAACAACCTGATGGCCATCTTAATTCCAGCTTAGTAAATCGTAAGTATACACATAAGACTGTTGGCTTTCTGTAGAATCATGATGGCACCATACCACTTTAGTTTCACTTTATGTCTAGAAGATTATTTTTACTACTATAAAAATGTGCCACTACTATAAAAAAAAAACCTACAGAAGCTTTATTTCCCCTAGTGTATCCAAAATACTATGCTGATAACCGTAGCAATAAGCTATATGTTAAGACAGCCTAAATTCTAAATTCTAGCACAGTCTCAGTGCCTAGAGCCAGCTAATAGAGAACACTATGCATAGGGTCTTTGGGTTGAGTTTAGGCTATAAAGCTCAGCTGAGATTTTCAAGTATAGAACTGCTATGAGATCATGTGGGAGATTTGGCCAGCAGTCTCCTAAATTATGAATTGATATCTTCATAAAAGTTTAAACAAAAATACAAGTTAAACATGCCACCTTTTGTCCCATCCACACAGCCTTAGCTAACTTCTTTTTATTCCCTGGAGAAATGAAGACTGGTTCTCTTATTGGGGACAAGATATAGTATTTGGGAAGAAGATGGGGATCACAGTTGTCTCAAAGCCATGCGTTCTTACATGATGTGAAAATGAGTCTCCAGTACCTTTTCAATTGTTTAACTGTTCTTATAGCCTAAATGACTTCTCTGTTGTAGTACCCAGAATTTTGCTTTATTTCTCCCATAAAGCTGAGCTGATCATCTGAATGCAACTCAACCCATGTCCATCATCTCAACATATAAGCCTGATATTAAATTCTTTCATATGTGAGAGTAACCTCCCGAGAACAGGGAACTGTATGTAACAGAGAAGCTGTGTCCCCCAAATAAATGAGTGGTATTTTGGAGACCCTCAAAGTCAGACTTGCAGCAGATCTTTTCCAACCAAATGCTTCCCACAGAGAAATATGTCTTGAGACTTGTGTCTCACGGTGATACCTTTCTCCCCGTTTTCCTTGTACTGGGTTCATGCCGTGTTAGTTGAAAGGGATAACTTACTTGCAAACGGTACAGGCAAAGCAGCTTGGATGGTAAGTTTTTCCCAGAGCTGTCACAACTTCTCCTTCCACGAATTCTCCACAACCGTTGCAGCGGGTACCATACATGCGCTGGTAATCCAAGGTGCAAAGATACTCCCCATTCTTAATGAAAAAGCCTCCTTGTGCCAAGTCACAGCCACACACTGGAAGAAAAAAACCACACAGATAGATTGAAAAAATATACCTACTAAGGATGTCAGCAACAGTCTATGCTGCCGACAAATGAGATGACCCTGGTGGTCTTGCTCCCTTCTATCAGATTTTTGCTTTCTCCTCCTGTCACTACATGCCTTGACATCCCAGGAGATGGTTGGTATTCTCTGGCTACAAGAGAGCTTGTAATAAAGACCTTCCTTGGAGGAATCCATGTAATCATAACTTGCATGTACTTGGTCCTTGCCAAGACCTCAGTTACCTCCAGTCATTCAGTTAATCATGTTATCAGAGTTATTTATACCAATGCAATCTTGCTTTCACTTCTGGGACTGCAGGTGAGCAGAAGAAAAGATACAATTCCATAAATAGGACAGATTTTACTATTTTATGCACTAGCTTACATTTTTCCTGCAAGCACGTGCTTTATTTTAAGAAGCTTTCAAGGTGCTGTGCCTTTTTGAAACAACGAATATTTTAGAAATGTTGTATAGTTTAGATAAACTTTTCCAGTCCCCAGATAACACTGAGCTGTTCCACCATCACTGCATTAATACTTTTTTTACTAAGTATGATCTTTGAAATGTTCAGGTTGATTTTACAGTATTAATTTAGACATAAATACTGGGAGAAAGCTGCAGGGAAGAGACAATCGAGCATTAAAAATCTAAACACATCTCCACTATATACACTTCATGATACATGCAGCCAAACTATACAACAGTATATTGGATACTGAATAAAGCAAATAGGAACAAGGAGTATTCCCCACCTGTATTCCAAAAAAATTAATGTCCCAAGAACTATTACCTGTGAGTGCCTAGTCTGCATTGGTCTTGTGTTAATCTTTCACATACTATACTCCCTGTACTTCATGGATTAGATAAACAACTCTAATATTTGGATACAGACTTGTGGCCATGTACAACTTTCTTGGGAAAAATAATTGTATCAGTAGAAGACTGAAGGACCAGTCAAGGAATTCTGTGACTTGGCAGTTTTTCACTGTTAAATGCTTATTCACCCAAACAAAAAACACATCACAACTAGGTGCCTGTTTTGCTTTAAGAAAATATTCATAGTGCTACATTGGCATTTCTGGTCAACACAGGAGACAGAAAGCAATCCATCCCAAAACAGCCAACTCCTATGAAGATACAAGTGCCATGGGAGATGGGAGACTGAATTTCACGCTTCCTGTAGCTTGAGTTGAACAAAGGACTCGAACCTACCTATTTAATGTCCCACAGCAGCACCAAAAATAGTACTTGCTTCATGTGAGCTTTTAAAAGTTCTCTTTATTCACTTCAGGAAGAAAGCACAAATAGGAGCTGCTAGATGAATTCTTAAGCAAATATACATATGGCAGCTCCCAGGCATTTTGGTTTCACCCACTCCTACTGCTCCTCTGTATGTTGCTATATCTGTGTAATTCAGTAAGAGAAGCTACTCTTCACAGTGGTCTAGGATGCTAGCTTAACTCTTACTCTGCAAGCAATTCCAACTCATGCCTCTTCATAACATTCAAGTACATTCAGATCAAATATCAGAAATATCAAATATCAGAAATTCTGATTATTAAGGGGAAATAAATAAGCAGCATTCTAAGTCCTTGCAGTTGCAGAGTCCTTGAAAAACTAAAATATGAAATACATAAAGATTATTGGGGGAAACTGGGTTCAATTAATCTCTCTGCCACAAATTCCAAGCACAAAGTTATGCACATTTGTTCTCTCCCCTGTTATAATGGGCTAACATCCTATTAGCTACCTGCCTTGAAAATTAAAATTGCAAGGTGCTTGGAGCAGGGATTGCAAATTCTCTGTGTTTGCCTGTTGCCAAGCCTCAGAGGTCTAATGAGTGGTACTGTAACAATAATTAATAGAATAACAATAAACAGAATGCACCAAAATGCAACTCAGAATTGAAGCAGTATCAGTGCTAGCATTCTTTCGGTTTCACATTTCTCCGTGGAACAGTGTTAATATTTCATGTGCAAACAAATTACATTTCATGGTGGCATTAAATCCACAAGCAGCCAAAACTCAATTATCAGTGACTTAGAAGAATTAGAGATCTATTGTTAAGGCTCTATTATAATGCTGCAAAACGCTCTAAGCTGGTTTTCAGGTACACCTCCAGAAAAAACCTCTTTCATTCTTCCATTTTTTTTCTGCTGATCTCCTTTTTGTTTAAAATATTCTTTTCAAAGTAACAGTACAATATCATATAACCATTAGGCAGAAAATACTGTGACCTCTACACGACATCAACACTTCACCTTAGACTCCTCCTGAGTTGGGGACTGTCTAGGCATTTTCCACTGGAGGTCCCGAGGCGAAACCTAAGCCTACTTACAATAGGTTTGCTTTTCTAAGTTACCTTTGGTGGATCTTTACAACTAGATCATGGAGTAACTGGAATTCTACTTTAATGCCTGAAAGTTGTTAGGGATTACTTTGGTATTCATACAGTGTAACCACAGGATCTAAAAGTCTGAACTGGAGTATGGTCATGGAGTGGTTAATGCTAGATGCTTCAGAAGCTGCTGAATTTCATAAACAGCTATGGAGTACTCACGCATCTAGGCAAAAGTTTCTTCCTAGCCACCTTTAGTTTGTAATTTAGCTTGTAGCTTTAATGTCCAAGTCTATACATAATTTCAGCTTCAAGCTGAAGGCACTCAGCACGCTGCTGGATCTGCCTCAGAAGCTGCATATATGAACTCTTTGGCTCTTTGCTATGGTCCCCAGTTCTACCAATGAATCACCTTTTGAAAAACCTGTTTAGTCATTATGGCTCTCTTTACCTGCCTAGGCAACAGGTCTAATAAGGTAGGATGATCAAAACTAACTTTCATTGCTACCTCTGTTCTAGCTTCTTTGGAAAATCCAGCTTCAATGTATCATTCAGAGGTCTGTGGCAGATCACTGCTTGCAAAAAACACTACAGACTTTGAATGAAAGGGTTCATGCACTCACAATTCTTAAGCTATATCCCTTTTGCGTGGCCACGGGAATTCAAGCCTAGCAATGAAAATGGGGGATAAAATTATTTGGCAAGTCTTTTAAAGACAGTAATTACTATTATTAAAAAGAACCTCCCTCTACTGCCCTTTTCTTTATGAAGTCTCCTTTCTATCCAATCTCCTTTTTGTCAATAACTCAGAATGAGTTAAATTCTCTCATACTGGCAAGTCATGAATTCAGGCACAAGCAGAACTGCTCATGATGTGAACCACCAACAGATTCATCATCTTTGGCGTACTCACAGCAGGAAGAGCATACACCAATCTGCAAGAATTAAAGACAAGTCCTGGCAACCCCACATTACAACGGATTTTTGCAGACAATTTAGCACATGTGTTCCCATCACTAATCACAGCTTTAAGCTACATAGGCGAAACAAGGGTCACCCAGACTGTTAACACCCATGGTTGGAAAAATGCTGTTCCAGCAGGCTGCTTTCACTTTGAGTCAGAGATCAAATCAGAAAGGATGAACATGACTGTATCCACCCTTGGTGTACAATGTGGTGTACAAACAACGAAGGGAATTACACAGCTTTTTTTTTTTTCTTTTCCTTTTTGCAACTGCGCAGAAGTCATGGTTCTGACAACAAATCCCCTCAAGCTTAAACATATGGCCTTAGCACACATATTTATGACTGCTGTAGAAATACCACAGAAAAGATGGACCAATTGTAATTGTTTTTATTAAAGACCATCTGCCCAGCATCGTTCATGCCACAAACAGCAAAGGCAATGAAGAGAAACCAGCTGTGATTGCTACATACGTACAATAAAACCCAATAGTGTGATCTAGGCAATTGCTGTGATACAAATACCACGTCATCAAAGAAAAACAAATACCAAAATGATGACAGTTAATAGGAAACATCAAATAATGTTCTTTTGTTTTTTCCTACGCTGATGGGAAAAACATCTTCAAAAGAATTAATTAGTGGAGCCAATAGCGATGCACAAATCATTTCACATTTTAGGGACATGGTTTAGAGGTGGACCTGGCAGTTAGGTTAACAGTTGGACTCGATGATCGCAGAGGTCTTTTCCAACCTTAATGATTCTATGATCATGCTTGAGAAGGCAAAAAGCAAGAGATATCCTGTAAACATCCATGACATGGAAGTAGTTCTACAGGAGAACAACACTTCCCCCGAGAACCCTTCCTGCTTGATATGAAGAAATACTGTTTTACATGACCACCAGAACCCCCCTTCTGAAACAGGAGACACTGGGGAGCATTTCTGTTCCCTGAGGTATCATAGAGACAAAAAAAGAAGACGGAAAAAAACCAAAACCAAACAAAAAAAACCCCCATTATCTTCAACAGCTTCTGGAGGAACTCAGCCTTTTCTTTTTCTCAGAGCCTGTACATCAAAGGATTCCATATTCCGGACAGACCATCCTACCTCTCTTGTGAATGGAATAAGCTGGAATACAGTCCTGCCTCACACTGTATGGAAAACACAGACCTACAAGCTTTTTCTCTCTTGAACTACTCTCTGGAGCTATGATTTTGCATCCTTGGAGCACAAAAAGATGGGAGATACCGTCAGTGCTGCTGTCAGCTCTCAAAGCTACAGGGTCTGTGTATGCAAGCCTGGGCTGTTACGACAAAAGGTAGCTGCTCAAGAGCAATCCAATTGCCTGTGATCTCCAAGGGACTCGGATCATTCTTAAGCTGAGTCACTTCCAAGCTTTAATGGGGATGATGAAAATGAAGAGATCAGATTTTTTCAAAGTGAATGGAAGTAGGATTTGATCCTACTGAGCATTATGTAGGATTTCCATAGGGTTATTGTCAGCAAGAGCTGAAAAACCAGGCCCTTAGTAAAATAACTCCATGCTGATGTTAAGTAAAAATGGTTTCAACACGGAAGAAACAAAACCACACAAGCAGACTCTGTGAGCTTGGTCTCTCAGTTTGCAGAAGTGAATGCTATTCATTAAGAAAAGTCTAATGATCTG